CTCTCTGTCCCAAAAATAAATAAACGTTAAAAAAAAAAAAAATTAAAAACAAAAACAAAAAAACCCCACCTTTTTATGAGGTAAATTAAGTAATTCATATTAATTACTTGTTATGTTTCAGATTTTTACCATGTGATTTTTATAATTCTGTTTGCTATGCTTTGTTCTTTTGTATTGTTTCCTGCCTTTTGTGCAATAGTTGGCATTTTTCTGGGTTTTTTTTTTCTTTTAATCTGGAAATTAATTCCCGTCGAGTGTCATTTCAGCTATAGATATGCAGATTATAGGACCAAGTTCATTTTTTACTCATAATGTCTGTTTAGTGGCTACTTAATGATTTTTTTATATTTCATTTTATTTTTCAAGGACGATTCTTGTTGTTTTTTTTTTAATTCTTGTTATTTAAATCTCAGATCATTTCCACTTTGGAAATGTTATTTTGAAATAATTTTAGACTGAAGGAAATGTTGTAAATAAGAGTTTTCATATACTCTCCATTCAGATTTTCTGAAAGTTAACATTTATCTCACTTATAATAATTCATTACAGCTTTTATATATTTTATGTTATATAAACTTAATCCTATGATATTTACAACGTTTATAAGTTATATCTGTGCCTTCAGTTTGTTGCTGGTAGTTTCCAATTTAATGCTTTTTGCCTTGAATTCCATGCCTACCTGGATTTGGTGCCTTTTGCCAATCTTTCATTCCATAACTTCTTCCTTTGCAAGTTTTGCATTTCAATTCATCTTCTGATTGGCTAGGTTAATTGAGTTTTTATTGAGGACTCACCAGGAGAATTATGCAGACATGCATCATTTTTCCTCTGCTCTTTTTTTGTTTACTTTGCCAAATTGCATTGTTGACTCACTGGTTCATGTTTCAGCTCTTCATTTCCCAGAAGAACTGTGGTCTCAATGGAAAAACCACAGTCTGTCTTCTTTCGGTTCTCATATTGAATCCAGGACATAGGTGATACCCAGTGACTTTGGAGTATTCCGAATTTGAATACATGACAAGGCTTGTCATTTATCACAACCATTCCCCTCATGCATGTATTTTACACATCTACTCTAAGGCCATCAGAAATTGGGGGGGTGAAATTGAGTCTGTTGAGTGAAAGATGTGAACAAAAGTATGTTTGTGTCTTAGGCATCAGTGACATTCAAGGATGTGGCCATGGACTTTACCCCAGAGGAGTGGGGGAAGCTGGATCCTGCCCAAAGGGAGGTGATGCTGGAGAACTATAGGAACCTGGTGTCGCTTTGTAAGGATGGGTTCTCATTGTGACTCGAATCTGCTTTGGGGACGTCATTACTTTATTGAAAGTGAAATAGCTTAACACAGCATTCACTTTTGCATTCAGAAATCATGAAGTATTGATCCCTTTGGGCCCAGAGAAAATCTATTTCTGCCCTTGGTTCTTGGTAAAATGTCTGTGCTTGTTTTACATCAAAATTCTTTGGATTCAAATGACAGAAACCTATTTCACACTAACTTAAAGGGCATAAGAATGTTGGTTCAGGAAATTATAAATATTGTCAGATATCTCCTTTATTTTGTTTTAACCACGTGGCTTGGCTTTGCCCTATATTAGCTTTATTCTCAGGCTCTCCCCATGCGGCAAAGATGGCCATCGGCAGCTCTAAGGTGGCATAAGTCTCTCAGAGAGAGAAATTACTCTCTGGCCAGTGTGGATCTTTTTTTTTTTTTTTTTTTTTTTTTTTTT